CCACCGTCGCGGCCTACGGTCGGATGGACCTCGCGCTGGCCCGTGAGCCGGTGGGGCCGGGCCACCAGCAGCCGAGCGCGCAACTGCCACCAGCAGTGATCGGAGTTAAAACTCGTGGGTGAGTCGGCATCGGAGTTAAAACCGTGAACGAGCTGTGGCGGTGAAGGCGCAGCGTAGAGGGGCGAGAGGCCGAGGCCGAACAGGACCGGGCTGGCGGCCAGGCACAAGTGGCGACACTTGGTCTCGGCGCTGCAGAGCGTGCGGAAGGCTGTGCAGGTGAGGGACCAGGCCCCGAGGTCGCGCATCACCATTCGCGCTGCAGCGTCCCTGGTCGGTGCTGATGCGGCGGGTTGAACTGCGACGACAAAGGAGAAAATGTGGCATAACAGCTCCTGCGGCAGCTCGAGAAGAGCGCTGGCCGCCCCCTCCCGTTCCATCTTAAGATATACTCTTTTTTTGTTGCAATTTTGCGTCAAATGAGCGTTGGTCGCTAATGAAAGTTCGTTTGGGAAGTTTACATTTTTACAACACATTACAATTCCTAGCGGGTGCGCTTGTCACTTGCTGTCCTACGTAGAAGCAGGGACAGGAAGCTTCGCCTGTGTCGAGACCGGTCCCGCCTCTTCTCCTTCTTCTTCAGGCTGCACTCCTCGTCCTCGCTGCTGTCCGACTTGACCTCACTGTCGCTTTGCTCGTGGAGGCTCATCAGCGCCTGCAGCGCCTTGCTCAGTTCGCCGGGGCCGTAGGCGAGAGACAGCCTCTTGGGTGGCTGCGCTCCCGCTGGGAGCCTGGGCCTGGGCGAGCTCGAGAGGTCCTGGACATCGAACGATCGGCTGCGCTCCTTCTCCCCTCGCTCCTCCATCACCACCTCTTGGCTGCTCTTGAACAGTTTGACCTCCTCCGGCTCCGTCAACTCGGGCAGCCAGCAGCAGGTCCTCCTGGTCGTCTTCTTCCCAGAACTGCTGCTGAGGCGGCGGGCGGAGAGGGAAGAAGGAGAAGGCGTCGGGCGGCACATCGAACGAAGAGGACTTGTGTACAAAGGGCAAGTTGAACCGCCCGCTCCTTCTAGGCGCCTCCATCGCCATTCGATCTTTTAGCTAGGTAGCGGTTGAAGGTGGTGGTAGTAGCGGTTGATGGTGCGTGGGGCCTTCTCTAGCCCTGAGAGGTGGGTAGTGGCTGGGGCAGGTGTTACAGGGGTAAGCTACGTTGCTGGTGTGATGAGATTCTTGGTCTCGTTGGCTTTTGTGCCGCTGGCTGGGAGGACACGAATCGTGCGTTAAGTTCCCACGAAACCTGCGCTATGGAACAGTTGCCATGTGGGAGTCGCTTGGCATCTCTTCCTCACACCAATGGTGGCCCACAGATTCAAACTTAGATCTTCTGTTGTCGGTCAGCTCTTGTAAGACCCTAGCAACGCTTGGGCGAGCTGTGGAAGGGCAGCGAGGATGACGACGGCGAGGAGGACGGACTCAACATGCTGTACCATCAAACTTAAAATGTCGTGTAGTGGCCTTCACGGAAATCCGGAGTTAAAATTCGGTAGGTGGAAGATTCGAATGAAAAGTAAACACTGCCCTGATAGGCTGTAGACATTAGTCCGCCAACCGTAGGCCTAACTGGTGGAAAGGCCACAGCGCAAGGAAACAAACACATCCATCCGCCGTACTACCACCACTATTGCTTCCAGATGTCTCGCCTCCGCCTCGCCTTCGTCGTGTTGTTGGCCCTCCTGGCCATGGTCGCCACCGTCGTGGCCTTCAGCGGCCGGGGCACCTGGTTCAACGTGGGCCTCGGCGCCTGCGGCCAGTACAATAACAACAACCAGCTCGTCGCCGCCCTGGTACATTAATTTATTTGTTAAACTCTATCCATGTTGCCTTAGTTTTATATTGCTAATATATAGATTTTATGTTTTTATAACCCAACAGAACTCGGCCCAGTACAGCAATGGCGCCTACTGCGGCAAGCAGGCGATCGTCAATGGACCCAACGGTCAAGTTCAGGTCACTATTGTGGTATGCGCTATCTCCAAAGTGACTGTTTGAACAGGCGCTCAAACATGTCGTGAAATCAATGCAGGACGAATGCCCAGGCTGCGGCTACGGCTCTCTCGATCTGAGCCCGGCCGCCTTCTCCCGCCTGGCCAACCTCAACGCGGGCGACATTCCCATCTCCTGGAACTGGGCCTGAACCAACCGCGCCAACCGCAAACCAGGGTTGACCACAAACTCGCCATGGGGTTTTGTTTGGTTATCGCGGCTTGCCAGCGGTTGCACTTCAGCGAAGCACCAGCTCGTTTTTAACTTCAACAACTACCAAATGACATATAAAATCAAAATCCCACGCCTCTCTGTTTTTTTAATCATCCTCCTCATCTACCATCAAACCAACCATGTCCAGCACCGACCACCCTATCACTGTGCGGGTCCGCACCACTCTCTACTTCTGGCACCAGGGAACCGAAGCCGCCGGAGGCGCCATGACCCAGTTCTGGGAGGGCGTGCTGGTGGACAAGCAGGCGGCAGCGGCGGGCCTGGCGCCCGACCTGGACGACGCGGGCCTCCAGGCCGCCCTGCTCGACTACGTCATGCGCCACGAACGCAACACCAACCAACTCCTGTACAACGGCGAGTGGGACGGCTCCCTGTACAAGATCCTCGAAGTCGCCGCCGCGCCACTGCACCCCGACGACGCCGACGCCAAGGGCCTCAAGGTGTCCAACCGCACACGCACACGCACACGCACACGACGCACACGCACACGGCGCACACGACACACACACACGATACACAACGACTTACGGGCTATGATGGTGTCTCAGGTGAGCCAGGGCGAGTGGCGGCCAGCGGTGGAGGGTACCAACGCGACGGCGCTGGCGGCCACGGAGCGGCTGCAGGCCCTGGAGTCGGTGGCCGGCTGGCGCTCGGCCTACCACGGCCGCTTCGACTTCGGCGCCAAGTCGAGCATCACCGCCGACCTGCACGAGCCGCGCCTCCTCCCCGTCAATCAGTCCCAGGTCTTCGCCATAACCATGGGCAGCGTCGTCGGCAACGCGTACTGAGGCCCTGCTGTCTAGTAAGCTAGAAACAGTCTTCACATTCCTCGCCACTCGCATTGATTTTCATAGGCGTGGGTGTAGAATGTCAAACATGTATCGGTTCTCAGGTCTGGTCGACGCACCAGTCCTGGCCAAAGTCGACGCAGTTGATGAGCGAACAGAAGCTGCACCACTCGCGCAGGGGCACATCCTCGAAGAGCGCGTAGACGCCCAGGCCGAGGCCCGCAGCGAGGACCAGCAGGGCGACCGAGGCCACGAGGAGGCGGAACGGCCCGGCCTTGGCGCCGTGCTTCAGCGAGGGCACCACGATCAAGCTCGCCACCAGCCCCGTCACCAACCCGCCGACATGGGCGAAGTTGTCCTGTCGTGTGCGGTGTGTGCGGTGTGGTGGTGAGTGATTGCATGGAGGAGTCGAGCAGAGTTGACGATGCACGTTACCACGTTGGGCAGGAGGCCGAGGAAGAGCGAGATGGCGACCATGATGCAGAGCACGACGAGATTGCGGCAGGGGCTCACCACGAGGGACCAGTTGCGGAAGATCACCACGAAGATCATACCCACCAGCCCAAACAGCGCACCTGCAGGTCATCGACAACAAATAAATAAATAAAATAAATATACAAATGAAAAATAAATAATAAAGACTAATAAATAAAGTATGGCTCGCACCGGAGGCGCCGACGGAAATGAGCCGGGGCAGGAAGAGACTCGAGGCCAGGTTGCCGCCGAAGCCCGACACGATGTACACGAGCCCCACTCGGACGAAGCCCATTTGTCGTTCCAGCATAAAGCACTGGAGCTGGAAAACTGTTACACACACGACACGACACGACACAAATGACACAGCACGACACACACACACGACACAAATGACACAGCACGACACACGCCGTGGTCAGAGGAATGACGGATGGGGCGAACACGATCAGGCTTGGGTTGGTGCGTACTCAAGTTGAGGGCCAGGTGGATGAGGCCGGCGTGGAGGAAGATGGGAGTGAAGAAGCGCCACACCTCGTAGTCCTCCACGATCTTGGGCACGTCCTTGGCGCCCAACGCGATCAGAGTTTCGGCTGACAAATAAAGAAAAAAATAACTTAATCATCATACACGAACCCCCTAGCGTGCGTGTCGTGTCGTGTCGTGTCGTGTCGTGTCGTGTCGTGTCGTGTCGTGTCGTGTCGTGTCGTGTCGTGTCGTGTCGTGTCGTGTCGTGTCGTGTCGTGTCGTGTGCGTGGTGCGGCATGTGAACGCACCATCGGGGCCGAAGAAAGGGTTGACGGAAATGGGCTCAAAGCCTCCGTTCTTCCAGATCGCCACGCCCATAAGCACGCATTGCGCAATGGAGGCTGCAGTGGGACACAAAAACCACGCATCATCAGCGACCAACGCTGAACGCGGGTGTGCGTGTCGTCGTGTGTGTCGTTGTGCGTGTCGTGTCGTGTCGCGTGTGGGCCAAATGGTGGTGATTCGCGTTACCGAGGAGGAGGAAGAAGGGGAAGTGTTTGTGGTTGGACTCCTGGATGGTCCGCTGCTGCTCGACCACTCGGGCGTTCCGCAGTCGCGTCTGATGCCACTGATCCACCCGTTCGTAGGCGGCACCATCCGCCTCTGTGCATAACATGCAATGAACGTAATCGTTCAGAACACGACACACGCATCACCGCACGCCGCACGACACGCACACAACACGTACCGACAGGGACGCGGGTGTTGAAGGGCAGGTGTTGCTGCTGTTGCGGGTGGTACGAGCCGCCACCGCCGGCGGTGGTCGTTGTGCGGAACAGGTCGTCGGGGTTGTGGGCGTAGGCGCTCGGGGCAGACACGGGCGGGGTCACCGGGCGCCCGCCCGACGTAGAAGAAGCAGAAAAAGATGAAGATGGCGAGGAGACGGCCGGGAGAAGATGCGGAGGCAGCTCGGGTGAGGGGCGGCGGGGTGCGTTGTAGTAATCGGGTGTGCCCGTGTAGTAGGGGATGGGGCCAACCGGCCCCGGGTGAGAGGCCTGCGAGTAGCCGCCAGATGAAGGGGGTGGGGGCTGTTGGTGCAGGTAGGGTTGATGCAGGGGGCGTTGCTCCTCCGCGTCGCCCAGCCATCTGTGGTTGTAGTGGTTGCTCATCCCTCGCAGCGGGTGTTCTAGAAATCAGCCCAAGGGGACTCAAATCGAATAATGATTCGAACGATCCTTGCGGGCACGAAGTGGAAAAAGTGACTTCTCTCTTCGTGCCTTGGAATGCAAAGAACTTTCAAGCCTCCCTTCTTGTTGCTGTCTTGTTTGTTCTGTTTGGGTGGGCGAATGGCGTCAAGCAGAACCAACATCACCAGAGCAACAAGAGAGCTAGCTATGATGTTGGTGTTTCACACTATCCCACCCAATCCTCGCCCTGCCTTTTCATTGCCCAGGTGCGTGGGAATGCAATCACACACACTCGCGCATTGCAGTGTCTATCTTGTCGTTCGATACGGCTCAGTCTTGCGCACGTAGCGACTGCTGGCTGCTGTGGGCGACAGCCACGGCTACGGTCGTGCTCCGCTCCAGCCGCGAGACCGCTCCTCCCAGGGCCTTGTCGGGGCTGTTGCTGTTCCGTGATGGTGGTCGCTCCAGCGGCTGGGCCATGAGCGCCGCCACCTCGTCCTCGTGCGCGCGCTTCTTCTCAGCCTCGAGCTGCTGCAGGAACTCCTCGATCCACCGCCGCTCCTCGGCCTTGGCCGACTGCGCCGAGCCGCCGGCGCCCGCGGCCTTCACCACCTTGTCTTTGTCGTCGTCATCATCACTGACGCCGATGAGGTGGTTGCGTCGCTGCCTGAGGAACTGCTCCATGAACACGACGATGTCCTTCTTCGAGCACTCGTCGAGCTGCGCCACATCTTTGATGCACTGCGACAGCAGCGACTTCTTGGACTCGGACGAGACCATCATGGCCACGGGCGCCGTCTTTCGCGCGAGCCTACACAGACACCACAGGTGAGCTGGACTGTCACCTTAACAAACACCAAACTGGTGGGAGGCGCGAACCTGTTCTCGGAGATCTTCTGGCGGAGCGCGGCGAGGGCCTTGCGCTTCTCCTCGGCCTCGGCCTTGCGCTGGGCCTTGTATTTGTTGTCGACCTGGCTGTCGTAGCCGCTGGCTTCGGGGCACAGCTGGCGCATGATCTCGGTGAGCCGCTCGGCGATGACCGCGCACGACGGCCGCGCGTCGGGGTCCTGCGCCCAGCAGTCCTCGATGAGCTGCCGGTAGGCCGGCACGCAGTCGTCGGGGATCGGCGGCCGCTCGCCCGACTTGACCTTGTCCTCGAGGAGGGACATGAAGCGAATCTCCCCGAAGAAGGCCTTGCGCGTGAGGAGCTCCCACAGGATGACGCCGATCGAGTACACATCGGCCTTGACCGTGTAGATCTTGTCCGCCATCACCTCCGGCGCCAGCCACACTGTGACGACGACGACGACGCGACGACGACGGCAACGACGGTGATGATGAAGGTGAGCCAAATGTGAAATGAAGAGCAAAGAATGGGCGGGGAGCGGGTACCAGGACAGTCGACTCGTCGACCGGCCGTGTGGGCGGCGGCGCTGAGGGAAACGCCAAAGTCGCACACCTTGGCCACCACCTCGGCCTCGGGCGACACGTCGGCCAACAGGATGTTGGGACTCTTCAGGTCGCGATGCATCACCGGCGGCGACGTGCTGTGCAGGAACGCGCAACCCTTGGCGATGTCCTTGGCGATCTTGAGGCGCAGCGGCCAGTCGAGCGGCTTGTCGGACTCGAGATACTCGATGAGCGCGCCCTTGCCGACGTACTCGGTCACGATACACGCGGGCTCCGTGCAGAATCCGCGCATCGCCACCAGGTTCGGGTGCGCCAAGCCACTAAAGCAATGAACGCGCGTCGTGTGCGTGTGTCAGTGCTGAACACGAAAAAACGAAAAAAGTGTGAGGAGAGTTTTACCTCATGATCCACACCTCGTGGCGGAACTCTTCGTAGGTGAGGCGCCGCGACTCGGCCTCCTCGTCCAAGCTGCCGCCATCGCCGCCCGGCGTGTCTTCGAAGGCGTCGACCGCGGCCGGTCGGAGCTGCTTGATGGCCACCACCTCGCCCTTGTAGGTGCCCTTGTACACCGTCGCGTAGCCTCCCTCGCCGATGGGCGGCTCCTGCTTGTCGAGCTCGCCGAAGGCAATCTTGTGGCTGTCGAGGTGGACCATCGCCAGATCGGGCGCCGCTGTGTCCAGTCGCACAGCCGTGGGCTCGTTGCTGCTACGATCTGTGCCCCAATTAATTGCTGCGAGTGGGCGTGGGCGTGGGCGTGGGCGTGGGCGCGGGCGTGGGCGTGGGCGTGGGCGTGGGCGTGGGCGTGGGCGTGGGCGTGGGCGTGGGCGTGGGCGTGGGCGTGGGCGTGGGCGTGGGCGTGGGCGTGGCGCTTACCAGAGATGCGGCAGTAGAGGAAGGCGTCGTTGGGCAGCATGGCCGCCTGTTGGCACTCCTCGATGGGAAACATGTACGGCCTCTGGTCGAGGCCGCTGAACACCATGCAATGTGGGCACGGGACCAAGACGCGGGCCTCGAGGTTGTACCACTCCTTGACCAGGGAGTCTACCGCCGCAAAGACCAGCCAGCACAGGTTGGACATCTGCTCGCCGCGCAGCTCCGTGCGAACCAGGATCTTGAGCTGGTCCTTCTCGGGCGTCAGTTCCACCAATATCTGCTCCCTGTGGAAAATATCAAAATCATTAATGTTTTAGTAAAACTGTTACTATTATTTTTGTGCATTAAAATGGCAAATAGAAGAAAATAACAATAATCCAATAAAAACGAGCAGGAGGTGAATGTACTTGGCGATGCGGGCAAGCATTCCGTAGCGCCAGATCACCTGGGCGACCAAGGGGAAGCCGAGCAGACGGATCATAAGCCGACCCATGAACCCCTGCGGAAGTTCCAGCAAAAGGTGATCGTGAGGTGACAACTGTGATTATTATAATAAACATAGGGCAGGCCTTGCATGCGCACCTTTGGCACAAAATCGAACTGGTAGGTGCGACCGAACACGTTCTCGCCAGCACCTGCAAGTCACCCGCACGATCAACGTACACATCAAGAAATCTTAGGTACAACTAAAAGAAAAGAAAGAAAGAAAGAAAGAGATGTTAGTTACGTACAGATGCGGCTCGACCAGAGCTCGGCCAGCTTTGCTGGCGCCTCTTCGGGCAGGAGCGAAGGCACCAACGACGAGAGGGTGTCTTCCGGCGACGACCCAATGTCTGCGGCCGTGGTCGGGATGTAGTCTGTTGTGGTCGTCGTCGTTGTCGTTAAGTCAGCCATGTCACACAGCATTGGATGGTGTTAAACTTAATATGCGTACCGAGTTTGTGGGCGTAGGACTGGATGGGGAAGGTGATCTCGAATCGCTCCAGCAGCGACAGCAGGAATCCGTGAAGCTCACGCGGGAAGGCAGGCGCTCGCCAAATGTGCGGCAACGCCGAATGCGGCAGTACGCCGGTGCTGTGAACAGAATGAGTTGAAATAATAAATTAAGTAAAATAATAAATTAAGTAAATAAAATATTTTTTACTAAGTTAAAGAAAGAGGAGGGTACCGGCAATAGTTGTGCTTCGTCGACACGACCGTGGCCAATACGTCCATCAGCCACTGTGGGTCGAGGATCACCACGTCTTGCAGCTGGTGGTACCATCATGACCACACGGCACACGATACACCAGCAGGTCAGCATGTGACGTTTAGAGCTAAATGTCACGGGCGAGGTTACCTTTTCGTCGCTGGCAAAGTGGACGAGCGAGCCCAGGTTGTGGAGCAGTGCGGTGGCTGTGCGCAGGTCCTCGTTGTCCTCCTCGATCATGCATAGCTTGGCCAGGTCGCGGTACTCGTGCCACGTCAGCACGGGCGGGGTCCTGACCTTGGCCTGGGCAGCCACGACCTTCTCGAGGGCGAGGTAGCTCGAGGGCAGCGTGCGCCCGATATAGTCCTGCTTGGCGACCACCTGCCGGAGGCTGTTGACCAGCGCGTCCATGCCCTTGCCCTGCACGGGGCTCACAAAGTGGATGCCCACCATATTGGGGTACTTGTATCGGAACTTGGCCTCGAGCCTGCGTGTGCGACGTGTGCGACATGTGCGGCGTGGGCGGTCAGTGGATGAGTTATTGGCAGCCGACGGCAGATTGTGAGGCGACCCACCTTCGTTGCATCTCGGCCAGATATTCTTCGGTACACCGCTCGTGTTCGGCGTGTGTGCCAATGATGAGGATCGGCGAGCCCTTGGCCGCTGCTCGCACAGATTGAAGCCTGGAGCGTTCGGGTAATGAATAATGCGTGTGTGTGGTGTGTTGTGTATTGTGTGCTGCCGTGCTGCCGTGAGCGCCGAGCGTGCGGTCGTACCAATACTCGATGCGAGACTGGACAGGGGAGAGCAGGTTGAACACCACCAGGAACAGGGACCGCTCCGACAGGAAGAACTGATGCGTCGCATAGTAGATCTCCTGACCTGTTCAAATGGAGCGGTCAGCGCGCTCTGTCGGCGTCGATGGCATTGAGAGAGGAGGAGAGTTACCGGCAAAGTCCCAGGCGGACAGATCGACCGCAGCCGCGTCTGGACCCCACACGCTGTTCATGGACAGACTCCAGGTGTTGATATCGATACCGTCCGTCGAGAGCGGCGCCACAGCTACAAGTGTAACACGACAGTCGTAAGCACAGGTGGGAAACGCGTACGAAAAGAAAGAATGTAAAAACTTGATAAATATGAAACCCCACGTACATGGATCGGGCAAATCCGACCCTTGCCGTATGATCATCGTCTTGCCCCTTCTCTCTCTTCGGTTCAGGGCGCGAAGCAGTGATGTTTTGCTGTGTTACAGACAAAATCTGAGTCGTACAATGCCCATACAAAAAAGCGAGTCGGGCGCGGCAAAAAAGTACCCGACGTTCTCCTGGCCGACGAACATGAGCTTGAGCCGGTAGCACGGCTCCTGGCCCTTGAGCAGCTGGCCCAGATAGGCCACGATGCTCGCTGACCCCAACGCCACCACCTCTGCCGGCGGCGACCTAAATGAATGAATGGAATGCGTGCGTCAGCTGCACATCGAGAGCAGACTATCGGTAGAATGTGAGGAATGTGTGTGGTAGGGGCAAACCTGAGTCGGCCGTTCTGTGAGCCGACGTCGAGCCGCTCCAGCTGGGTGAGGATGCCCAGCTGGGCCGGGAGCTCCACGATGAGGTTGCCCTCGACGGTCAGCACGCGCAGCCGGGTGAGCTTGGCCATCTCGGCCGGCATGCAGTCCAGATGGTTGTGGCCCAGGTGGAGCTCCTGGAGCGTGGCGGCCAGGCACCCGATGCCGTCGGCCTGCAGCGCCGAGAGTTGGTTGTGGGACAGCCACAGGCGCTCCATGTTGGTCCACCGCGCGAAACAGCCCGGGGGCAGCGCCGTGATTTGATTGTTGCGGAGATCGAGGCAGCGCAGCCGCGTCATCCCGACCAGGTCGGCCAATCGAAGACATTCCTCCGCAGCCACGTTGCTGTATTCATGTATGAACATTGTTGGTTGTGGAATGTTAAGGAATGTTGCTGGAATGCGTACTTGGCATAGAATTCCTCGAGCGAGCCCAGGTGGAGAATGGCGTTGGGCAGGCGGGTGAAGGGGTTGTTGGAGATGTTGAGCACTCGCATGCTCGTGGCGCGAGCGATGTCGGCCGGGAGGCTCGGTAGCTGGTTGTGCGACAGGTCGAGCACTTCGAGGTGTGGCAGCGCAGAGAAGAAATCAGCGGGCAGCTGCGGCATGCCGATCCCGGCGAGGTTGAGCGAAGTGAGCGAGGTCAGCTTCAGCAGCACCTCCGGCATGCCCTTCTGGCCTGCCGAGCGAATAATATGTTAGCACAACACGACACGCATACGCACACGCACACGTACGATACACACGACACACGCACGGCATGCGTACAGCGCAACGTTACCTTGATCTGTGAGAAGTTTGTTGTACGCAACATTGAGCACGCGCAGCTGGGTGAGTGTAGCGAGGTGGCGCGGCAGATGTTCGATCGCATTGTGGGCCACGTTGAGCTCGGTGAGGCTCGCCGGCAGCTGATCGACGACCCACAGCCGGTTGTCGGCCAGGTGCAGCCTGTCAAGGCGCTCGAACGAGCCGCTCGCCGACGCGTCCGGACTGCGCAGCTGGCCGTTGTCGTCCATGGCCGCCGGCGCCGTGGCGTTGTGGTCCTGGGGCCGCGGGGAGAACGAGGTGATGAAGTTGTGCGAGAGGTCGAGCGACACAAGGCCCGAGAAGTGGGGCAGGTGAGCGGCGACTGAGGAGATGAAGTTGCTCGAGAGGTCGAGCGACGAGAGCAGCGGCAGTCGGTCGATGAGCGGCGCGGGCAGGCGTGTCAGAGCGTGGTTGCTGATATCCAGCCCGACGCTGTCGCTCTTCGCTTGCTGTTGCTCTGCAGAAGCGTTAGTTGAGCCCTCCAAGAATTCGTGTGTCGTGTGCGTCGTATTGGGGGGAGCGTACTGGCGAGCTGTATGGTGATCTCCTTGATGACTTGCTCGTTGGCGGCCGCAGTGGCCCATCGGAGATAGTACTCTACCAAAGCAGGAAGTGCACGTTAAGCTTTGAACCGCACACGGCGTGCGCGCGTCGGAGGTGTGGTACCAGTCCAGAGCGTCACTTGCGAGGGGTGTATGGCGAGACGAGGCGAGGTCTTGTGCGAGTTGGGGTCGTAGAGCGAATTTACGAACTCGCTCTCGTGCGAGGTGATGTACGCCCAGACCGAGCCGGTCTTGTTCAAAATGCCGAATTTTTCTGGAGAAGCGGCCGTTGAGTGGTGGCCAAGCCGCACACACACGCACACACCTCACACACCGACATCGCACGACACGCAAGACACGAGCGAGACGCACTTTTGAGTCGATCGCGGTGGGTGTTGGTGAGGAAGGAGCCAAAGCGGCAGGAGTAAACGGAGTCGAGGAGGAACACGAGCAGGTGCGGGCTGAACTCGAACTGCGCCGGCGACTGGGTCCACAGCTGCCACACGGCGTCGATGAACTGGACAAAGAGGTAGGAGTGCTGTTTGGGCAGGTACTTGTTCTTGTTGCCCTGGCCCCACTCGAAGCAGAAGGCCATCCACTCCTTCTCGATCAGCAGGCAGAGGCCAGCGATCGTCCGGTAGTGCGGGTCCAAGCACAACTGCCCCCGCCCATTGTGAGTGAGTCCATCGCCCCCTGTGTGGTGTGTGTGTGTGTGTGTGTGTGTGCGTGTGTGTGTGGTCATACCTGTGCCAAGCTGACGACCTGCGGCACGGCCTCGGATCCGTCGTGGTTCAATACGACCACCTGGCGACGAGGCGAGTGAGGTCATTGGTTAGCGGCACGCGTGGGCTCGTAAGGGTAGGGAGTGGTACCGGATTGCCCAGTTGCAGCTGGGTGACCACCTTGGCGGTGGCCTCGAACAGGCGCCGAATGCCGGTGAGCCAGCGCGTGGCCTCGACCGACTCGCGCCACTGCGTGGCCTTTTCCTTGTGAGCCGCAAATGCGTGCGCGTCGAAGGACGACACCAACTGTGCCAGCTTGCCGAGACTGTCTTCCACCGCTGCCGGCGGCAGTAGCTCGGTCTTGCGCGTCATAATCTGGCCTTCGTCTGTCGCGCACGACACGCACCGACGACACGTGTTAGTTTGTCGATAACAATATAAATTGGCTGGGCGGAGGTGCGCCACCTGTGGTAAAGGTCTTGACGTTCTGCGCGGGCTCGATCTTTACTGGCGCCGATGCGTCGGCGCCGGCCTTGAGCTTGATTCGCGAGGTGTCGAAGACGTGGAGCGTCTCGGCCTGGCGCTGGATCAGCAGCACGTACTGCAGCATGCTGCGGTGGCCGCGCTTGGCCTTGCCCAGCTCGGAGATCCAGTCCGACTCGGACACGGCCATGTTCTCCCCGCCCAGCAGGAACTTGAAGCTGCGCAGCAGGCACGCGCCCGTTGTGGGGTTTCGCCACGTCAGCGCCAGCGTCCATCGCTGCCATTTCTGCAGCGAGTTCCACAGTTGGAAAATCGTCTCTGGAGAGATAAAGCGATCAATTACGAGCCGCACACACACACACCACACACACTACACACACTACACACACCACACACCACACACACGATGGCGGCTTACCGTCGCTGATGGCTGCGGGGACGATGAATTGGTTGGGGAACTGGGGGAAGGCGAAGTTCTTGTTGATGCTGGTGATGCGCCACTGCTTGGTGGGAATACGGAGCCGCTTGAACTCCCGCTCCAGGTTGTACATCGTGAACCCGGCGCTGTCCTGCGGTGTCGCGGTCGCAAACTTCTCCTTGTTCTGGTACGCAAAGAGATGGCTTCATTCGCACCACAATACAACACAACGCAACTGTCAGTGCGCCCGCACACGCACACGCACACACACACACACTCCACAGTGCACGCCGCACACACGACACCGTCATGTAAAGGGACACGTACAAGATCTGTTGGGGACAGATGTGCTGCTTGAAGAGGTTGGTGAGGGCCTTGACGGGCTCGGGGTAGAGGAAGAACATGGAGAGGGTCCGGAAGTCCTTGCACTCGATCACGAAGCCGGCCAGGTTGCGCTCCTCGTGCCTCGCCGGCTCCACCCGCATCGCCAGACCGAGCGGCACCGACTCCAGCCCATCCTGGCCGTCGCCGTGGTTGATGGTGATTGTCGCGTGGGTAAAAGTTCCCGTTACATTTCCCATGTCAGTAAATTTAATTATGTTTCGAATAATATATCGGGCATTATTTATATATATGCGAATTTAATTACGATTATAATCATCTGCAAGAGTAGAAGAGATTGTGAATTGATCGTGAGGGGTGGCACCTTGTGGGTGAAGATGAGCCGGTAGGTGGTCATGGTGAACTTGGCCCACCTGCCATCCCGTAGCGAGTGGTGCGTGAAGAGCACATCTTCGGGTCCTGCCGTCGGGCTCGCGTAGAGAACTTTCTCGCCCGCGATCCAGTCGCCCTCCGTTGCTGCGGCCGTTGAGGAGGAGGAAGTGGAGGGCGACAGTGGCGGTGATGATGTGGGTGCCGTCGAGGGGGATGCTCGCTCGCGGTTGATGGCGTCGATCCACTGTTGTGCGTTGGCCTCGCTGTCTGCAGCCAGCGCGTAGACCCGATTGGCCGTCGCTATATCAAACACCACACGCTTGGTCGCCCCCTTGCCGCCGGCCGCCGGCTGTCGGGCCGCACAGCTCTTGATGTGGCTGAGCTTGATGGCGCCCAGCGTGGCCTCTGTGCAGAAACGGGTCGAGTTGTAAGACGTGTGGTGCCTTGAGGCACATTAACTCTCGTGTAGCGGCCCATTGGCCAAACTGTGGCGAGCGATGGGAATGGTGATGGTGGGTTGATAAGATGAAGGTTGGGGTGATTGGTACCAGTGGATTTCTTCTTGCGGTAGAAGAGGGCGGAGGGGGTGAGGGTGAAGTGTCGGGTCTGCCACCGCTTGAGCGCCATGCCGGGCGACTGCTTCTCGAGGGCGCCCTCGCGCACCACCGTCTTCGTGTCGTAGCCGCCGACCGGCACGAGCTCATCTTCCTCTTCCTCCTCGCGTTTCATCTTCTTACGCTCCGTGTGCTGGGTATTGTCTGCCTTCACCCTCCCACAACCGTTGCGCGCCGGTCAAGGTTTACAGCGACACCTTCTGGAGGAAAAAGCACTCCGATACACCAAGCGTCTTCTTGGTGAGTGCGGACCCTCGTCGAAGAAGACGCTTCCTGTAGCCAGTGGGAGAATAAATGGTGGTAGCTACATATTCGGGCCGTCCAACCACAACGCCGAGACGATATGCGAAAAATATGTCGGCAATGTTTTTCTATAAAAGCGAAAATGCCCGCGCGTGCTACCGAGGAACTGCGGAGTTGTGAGTGTGTGCGGAGTGTGAGAGCACACCCATCATCATGGCACCTTGAGCTTCTCCTTGGAGGAGAGGAACTGGTAGACAAACTCCCTCTTCTTCTCCTGGCTGCCCTCGCTCACGTTCCTTGGGTTGGGGCTCCGCACAAGCACGCTGGAAAACAGCAACGCTGCGTTGAGATGATAGAAGGTAAGAGAAAAGCAATTCAAACCAGATCCGTGTCAGTTTTTGGCCCGCTGCATGGACTGCGCCGTGTTTCGTATCGTGTGCGGCGCGTGTCGTGCGTGTCGTGCGTAGGCGAGGAGTGTACCGAGCTTGTCGGCTTGCAGTTTGTTCTTGTCTCCGTGTTGCAGGACCTCTCGCAGGAAGGCCATGAGGTAGTAGAACACGTTGTAGTTGACCACCGGCAGATACGACAGCAGTTGCTTACACTGGCAACGAACAAGGTGGATGGGACGATGGTTAGGGCCGGTTCAGTTCGGTACTTCTTGCGTGATATCGTGACGATCGTGGCTGGGTGGGCGCGCACCTGGTTGTAAGAGGCCGAGCTCTCCAGGGCTTGCTTGTAGAGCGCGAAGGGGATAATTGGCTCGGCGAGCGACTCGAGGAAGCGGAAGAGGATCTCCGCCACGCTGTGGATGCTGCCGGCTGTGTTGTCGAGAGAGAACCGGTTGAGTTAGCATCAGCCCTGGAGCGTGTGCTTTGCCTCGCCTTTCCCTCACACTGGCACACGGGCGACGTACTGTACTCATCGAACGAGCGTCCATAGTCGAGCAGTTCTCGCAGCTGCTCCATCTCGCTCTGGATGCCCGATTGCGAGAACAGCCCTCTCTACAAAATCAACAACACGCATCGATCAATTTTGTGAGGCGGGAAGTCGGAAGACTGGACAAGCAAGTGCGAGGTGTAGAAGTAAAAGAACGCGCACCTCATCCATTCCCTTTCTGTAGATGTAGTCCACAATGCGCCACAATTCCTGCACAAGGTAAGGTGTTTGTTGTTAGAGGCAAGGAGGAAGCTCTCCGCTCTCTCTCTCTCTCTCGCTCTCTCTCTCCGCATGACAGCCGCGGGCGTTTACCTTGGGGATGGAGAGACGATCGGTTGCTGTGGGCGGACCCGCCGGAGACGAAGCCACGGGTCCGGGGAAGCACACCTGCAAGTGCGCACATGACGCGTAATTGAGTCTCTCCAGAAAAACAATACAGGAAAGTATGGTGGGGGAGGGTACAAGGTGCTCGAGCGTGGAGCCGAAGCAAGACTGGATGTAGCTGCCCGAGATCGAGATGAAGTAGTCCTTACCTGTTGTCGTTTTCCCGTTGTGTGAGAATAGCAGCAGAAGAAGAGCAAAGAGGTGATATAAAATAATACAACAAACAGTACCCTTCTCCAGATGGAGGATGAGAATGTCTTCGAGCTTCTCCCGGCCCAGGTTGAAGTCGGGCGCCCAGCTGTTGTTGATGAGCACGCTAAGCTTGATCTTCATCTTCTCGCCCGGGATCACCTGCGGCAAATTAAAGCAGTGTCGGTATTGTTCGCTGGGCACTCGCTTGCTTGCGTAGTGATGCAGGCAGTGTGATGTACCATGCCGAAGGGTGGTCGAACGTCGAGCCAAGGTTTGCTGAACTTCTTCTGGTTGAGCTTGGGAATGAAACGGAAGCGAACGACAACCTATGGTGGTGGAGATGATGGTGATGACGGGAAGTAAAAGGTAAGTGAGCAGACTCAAGTCTCGCACGTGCTACAACAATGATTCGTACCTTGCCCGTGTTCTCGAGCTCAATCGTCTGTTCGGAGGGCACCATGTACCTGGCAAAGATGAATTATCAGCATCACCACCTCGAACAACAACCAACAACAACCAATATTAACCAACAACGCATACCTGACATTGTTGAAGGTGACGTTGTTCGAGGAGACTGTGGCGTCGGGCATGCATTCGTTCTCGAGCTTGTCCAGCTTCTTGACGATCTCCTGGTAGGCGGAGTTGCGCTTCTCGGCGTTGACGGACTTGACCTGAATCTCGAAGGTGGCCGAGACGGGCCTGTGGTCGGAGGCCAGCAGCTCGTGCCGCAGGTAGTTGATCTGCTTCATGTTGCGGCCGCGCCACATCACGCGGTCGCACCACGCCGGCGTGCGCTTCTTCTCCGACGAGTCGTAGACGTCGGTGCCGGGATCGTATTTGTAGGTGGGCGCAAAGTTGATGACGCCTTCGTTGAACTCCTCGAACGCCAATCGCCTGGCCATTTGCATACGCAACTGCACCCAGCCGCCTTGAGTTAACACCTCATTGTGTTGTGCGTCAATTCGCGCGAGGGAGGTACCTGGTCGCGCTCAAACAAGTAGGCCAAGTCGCCCTCGCGGATCTTCTTCCTGACCACCGCATCGAGGCCCTCAATACGGTAGTTGAGATCGCCGATCCACACCACATGACTACACACGACACATGACACACACACACACACACACGTGCAGAGGGTTAGTTATTGCTGGTTTTCAGGAGAGCTAGCCCAGTACGCGAAGAGCTGTGCGACTGACTGCACGTACTCGTGATCGAAAATATCGAGGTCGTTCTGTACAAGCAGTTTGCTGATGATGTCCTTGTAGTCCTGGTTCCGCCGCTGCACGCGATCGTAGTGGGCGTTGAGGTGCGAGTTGAGGATGCAGATGCTGCTGTCATAGAACATGAACCGCGCGGCCACGCCACCCTTGTTTCCCTGTAATTGTGCATTCGCACCAAAGAGAAAGGAATGCGCGGAATGTTTAGCCAAGAAGTGTAAAGTGCGCGAAGAGAAAGAGGAGCCTCATGTTGGCGTACCATGATACCCATGATGCCCACAGACGCCGCTGCGGTCTGCATGGAGCGGATGTGGGGCACGTGCTCCTGCCGCACGCAGATGACCAGCAATATGCCCACAAGCTGCTTGGTCACCAGCTGTTGGCACCGGCAAAGACAAGACAGATGAAGAGAGTGTAATTTTAGCCAAACCATCTCAATGCTGGAGCGGCGCTCCAGTGTCTTGGTAGTGGCGCGATGTGATTGGTTCGTACCATGTGATAGTCGGCCACTTTGGAGAGGGAGAGCATGATGGCCTCGACCCACGGGTGTGAGCGGGTCGTGTCGCCAAGCACCAACGCCTGGGCGCTCAAATCCAGCTCCTGGAACCTACGCATACCACATCAAAAGTCGCCCCATCAGAAGACTGATGACTATCACACCCACACGTCTTCGTCGTGCCACCAGATCCTGTAAGTACCCGATGGCGTAGAGATCCGGCGGCGGCTGATCGGTGCGCAGCCATCCGTCCAGCGACTCAGGCATCTTGCCGTTCACGTTCCATGTGCCGAACATGAACCTAACACAATCAACAAACAACGGTAAGCCACAGGCTGGGTGTCGTGTGTGTGCGGTGTGACGTGCGCGTGGTAGTAGGATGTGAGTGCGGTACCGAAGTGGCTTGTAGTCCGTGAATTCAGAGGAGCGCTGGTCCATCTGCTGATTGACCCAGACCTCCTTGACGGACATGAACTTGGAGGGATCGTATTCGCCGCCGTTACGCGACTTGGCGAACGACACGAGTGGGTTACCGCCCTCGTCCAGGTCGCCCAGAGCAGACTCCCTGCGATCGAGTTGCGTGTTGGTGAGCTCGTCCATGTCGCGTGCGTGGGTGTAAGGTGTGCTTTTCATTTACCTGGACGGGTCTCGCCTCATCCGCTCATCGTCGATCGAGAGAAGGCCCTGCATCGCCGCTTGGAGCTCGTTCACTTTGGCCATGCCGTACGGCCGGTTGGTGTAGGAACCCTCTATTTACGTGCACACGTGCGCGTGAGTGAGGAACATGAAATGCACGGAGAGACCCGTGAGCGACAAGTACTGACCCCCGCTCTTCGATTCTTTGCTGATGTACGGCTGCAATCGAGAGTTGTCAAGTTAGTGGTCTGTTTTGTAGATCAACCATAAGTTCAATGCGATACCAGTGCGCACCTTGGTCCATGCGTGAGACGGTCCGTTGAACACGAAATTGTCTTGTTCTGCACAGGAGGGAAGGTACCGTCAGGTGAGATCAATTCGTTCATGAGCGTAACACACACACACACACACACAGCTCGACACTCAATCAACGCACGTGCTAGGCGAATCGCTTTGGTAAGGTGGGCCTGTGCCAACAAACAACAAAGCGTAGGTATTAACAATTCGTAATCGAGCCTGTAGGCCTGGTGTACGACGTTAGATGGGTACCTTGACGTTGAGAGCGCAATCGGCGCTCTGAAATTGGAAGGCAAAGAGCGAGCCGTCGCTGCGTGCTCCAAAAGACAGCTCCATCTGACAAGAAGAAGCAAAAGAGGAAGAACAAGAGAATAAGTATCTCGTGGGTAAGTCGGCAAGCACTGACGACAGAGGAGCAAGAGCTCACAGGAAAGCAGAAGGGGAAGGGGAGTGTACGGTCGTCTCGCCGCGGAGGGTGTGGCGCAGGTCCTCGTACACCGGGAGTACCTCGGCTGTTCGCAGGTAGGGTCCAGAATCGCCGTCCTCCTTCACCAGCGACAACAGACTGGCAGGGAGAGAGGAGAAGGAGACGTCATAGAACCCAGGTGCGGTGAGACATCAGCCACCGGTGAGAAGGGGAGGTGTCGTGCGCAAGCGAGAATGTAAAGAGAGAAATGGAGACTTGGGGAAGAGGCCAGAAGAAGAAGAAGAAGAAACAGTGCTTGGGGACGAAGGAAAGGGCTGGCACGTACGCGTATTCGGGGGTGGGCTCATGCTTCACCAACGCCAGGTAGCACGGCTTACGTCTTCCGTCTGCGAGAACTGCCACCGCCTCGTAAAGCTTCAAGTGGTACGTGTGGTGTCACAAATCAAATCAACAGGTAGCGAGGAAGGACCACGTCAGAGAAGGAGGTTCACGGCACACCGTGTGCACTCGCCCAGCCATTCGCAAGGAATTAAAGAAAATTAAATAAAATGATCTGAAATGAGCCGCTACGCGCGAATCAAGAGGGGTAGGTACAAAGCAGGAGACGTCTTCAGGTCGCAAGAATGCCTTCAAGAGGCGCCCTACGGCCGATGTTGATGAAACGGCAGGAGGGGTGGACGGCGAACCGCCAGCGCCAAGATCGGCCGAGGATGAGGTGGTCCCTTCCATCCACATTACGAAATTAACTCTTTAAATCTGTTCTATTCTTTCTATTTGCTTCGATCTGAAGGTTGCGCTTGATCGCTTTTGCTTCCGTGGCGCTATGATGGTGTCTTTGTCTTGGAAAACTAGAGACAATTATCCCTCTAATTATCTGTTCTTTTCATTCCGTTTTTCCACTCTAGTAACCGTTACCAGTTCTTAATCACACCTTTTTTTAATGGATAGCCCTCACCAGTGAGAGCTGTTGAACTTGCTCCTCCAGTAAGACAGAGTTCCTCCTTGTGCTACATTCCCTTCCACAGAACACACACACCACAACACACACAACACATGCTGCATTTGCTTCCTTTCATTTAGAGTGAGTTCAGTATGGATCTTTGTTGCTACCAGTGGTGTGATAAAATAAATTAGAGATTGTTCTTCTTGCTGGTAAGCTGATCTGGTTTGGCCTGTGATATTTTCTAGAATTGCTGGAGGCCGGCAATGGTGTCATCGAGCTGCTTGATCTTGGCGTCGAGTTGGTTGTAGAGCTTGCGCACACCCTCCTCCAACACCTTCCTCTCCTCGGCCAGCTTCTGCCTGTCGCGCTGAACGCTGTCCTTCTCCTCCCGCGTGCGCTCCTCCAGCTCGGCCCACTTGGCCTGCAGCTCGGCCTCTACCTTCTGCGGCGGCGGTGTCGCCGTGTCGGTCTTGGCCACGGGCGCCTGCGCGGCCGCGCGCTTGGCCTCCTCCCACTGGGCGCGCGCGGTATCGAGCTCCTCGCGCTCCTTCGTGATGGCCTCGCGCTCCTGCTTGAACTGGGCGGCGACCTTGTTCTTTTCCTCCCAGATGCGTCGCTTGACCTCTTCCACCTTAGCCTTCTCGGCCTCGAGCGCCCGTCGGTCGTCTTCCACCTTCTTCCGCTCGTCGTCCACCTTGCGCCGTTCTTCGTCGAGCTTGCGCCTCTCATCCGCCACCTTGCACCGCTCCGCCTCGACCGCCGCGCTGTCGCCCTGGCTCGACGCCGTCGCGGCGGCCTCGGTCGGCTTCTGCGGCGAGACCGGCGTGGTCTGCGGCTGCGGCTGCGGCTGCTTGGGCGGCGACTGTTGCTGAGGCGGTGAGGGCAGCTTGGCCGACTTGCGGAGGGCCGACGGCAGCGGGAACGCTCTCTCGCCATCGCCGCCGCCGGTCTCGTCGACGCCCACATCGCTGTGGGCGGTCGGCTGCTCCTTCTTGGGCGCGTCGCGCCTGATGACGCGGAAGGACTTGGACCGCATCGCCGGCTTCTCCTGGGCCTCGTCACCAGGCTCACCCCATAGCGGCTTCGTTTCCTGTAGGGAATGGTGGTGGCGTAAGTCCTGCGTCGAATGCGGCAGAAAAGGGTGGTCTTCGCACAGGGGCTGAGTCCTCGCTCCGGGCCGAGGTGGAGGAGGGTTCATCGGACTCCTCGGAGCCCACGCCGTAGGGCGCTCCCTTGGCGTCCCACTTCATCTTGGCCGGCTCACGACCGAAGCCGCTGTCATAGTTGCCTGCATTGTTGAGGGTCAGAGCGTGTGATCGTCATGGCCTCACATCGCTCAATTGCTCATCTGGGTCACAGAGGCACAACAATGCACAGTACCCTTGAGCTTGAAGAGTTGCTTGAAGTGCGGCTACATGGCAGACACCACGATCAGTGCCACTGGCCGGAGCACACAATGCACTGCCAACTTCAACGTTGCAAGGAGGGACCCAGCAGGGAATCGTGGTACCTTGCAGTAGTAGTTGCCCTGCAGCGCAGCGTAGTTGCCCAGCTTCAATGCACAGTTGCAGTGCGCACAGCGGAGGCAACCCCTGTGCGCAAGGGGCCGAAAGCGGTTAGAGCCCGCATAAGGCCCAGAGACTGGGTTGTTGTAGAGGAGCGTACTTGTGGAAGGTCTTCTTGTCGGCGTCCATTCGCTCCACAGGGTAGACCTTCTTGTTGCAGACATAGCAGTTGGGCGTGCCGACGAAGCTCATCTTGTTTTACTTTGCGTAATTCACAAATGCTAATTAGCGAGAAAGAATCAAACCAGTTAATCAATAGCCGGGGGGCAGTACCAAGTGGAAGGACGGTGCGCAGGTAGGGACGGGAAGGGGGTGGAGGACGCGAGGGAGTCTTCGCCTCTATTTCTAGAAATTAATGAAACGAAAAAGAAACAGAAAAAGAAAGACTTTGTGCTGGAGAAATACACCTGAAATCACAAGCAAGTGTAGTGCGCCAAGATGAGCAACGCCGTCATGCGGGCCTTCACTCATCCTCCATTGCTTCCCTCCCTTTGCTCCTCACGTACAAGGTGCCGACATGCCCTCCAGCGTCTCCTTCTATTGTTCTTTATTTAGCGCTCTTTGGTGAGGGGGGGAGGCAATACAGGCATGCGACAGTCCGTTGGCCGCTCGTGGCCGGCATACCACTACTGCAATGTATTGGGTCGCGGAGGTCTCGGGCGCCTCTCCACCAACACCAAGCCACCGGCACCACCGATACCAACACAACCGCTACGGATGTTTCCTGGCCTATCGGTTGCAGTGTGGGCAACTCCGACAGTTGTTGGTACGCCGCCGGCCACGCCCGGTGTTTGTACTAACACCGCACGCGCACTCACCGCGCCAGCCAGGTAGTTTTACCTTTGTG